AAAAGTAAATTGAAGGAAATAAAAAAAGGGTTTAAAAAAATTTTAGTAAGTAAAAGGGATTACCCAAAAAAATGGGAAAAAAAAATGTTTTTTTCATTTAATATTGCACGGTTTGATTAAAATTTCTTTTGGTTTATAGGGCAGTACAAGGTAAAAAAGAGTAATCTAAAATATTTAAAAGGGGGGTAATTTAAAAAAAGGGAAGGTAATTAAAACAAGTAATGGGTTTTTTTTAAATTCAAAAAAGTTAAGGTAAAAATTGGAAAAATTTTAGTAAAAAAGAAAATTAAAAAAATTTTTTGTAAGAAAAACAATTGATATTTTTTTAAAAAAAAATTAAAAGAGGTATAATATGGACAGAAAAAAGTATCAAAAATTTGCTAATGTTTAAGCGAACAATAGTAAATAAAAAAAATCACAAAGGTGACTTACTTACTAGTAAAATACAAAATGGGGTAGTTTTATTATTTAATTACTAAAGAGATTGTATAATGAAATTTTTAACAATAATGGGCAAAACAAACACTACACTTGGGAGGTTTTAAAATTGGGCATTGTTTTTGGTTTCTTTTGTAAGAATTTTTATCCCTGAGGGAAAACGTTTATAGTCATTCTCGTTTTATGGTTTGTACAGTTTACCACCTTTGTTTTCCTAACAAGAATTTTCCCATCCCGGTGAAAACATTGGGGTTTTTGTCCCTTATTCCCCCTTTTAAAATTTTTGACTTATACAGGAGGTTTTGACGTTTTTTTGGGAAACCCCTCCCTTTTTTTTTATACCCCTTTCTTTACTTTAATAGATGCAAAATTAAGTTTTTTTTTTCCTGTCATGTGAGTGGAAACTAAGCATAACACTTTTTTTTAAACCCTGGGGTCCTAGTAACCTGGCTTCTTTTTTTTCAGAAATCTGGGGACAATTAAAAATTGTTTTTGGGCCTTTATATCTTTCAGAGTAATTTTTTTTACTGTTTTTTTTTGGGTTTATATCACGGGAAAAAAATTGGGCTTTTTAACTATTAAATGGGGTCCGATAGTTTATCTTGTTTGTTTTTTCTTTTTGGGGAGCAAAGTGGGCACTGACTTTGGGTTTTCTAATTGTTCTTCCCGTCCTTTTTCTGCTCTTCAAAACCCTTTTTATTTAAAAAGATATTATTTGTTGGGTATTGGGGTAACTTACTGTTTTGGGTGGTCTTGTCACGTTAGTCATTTCCTGGGGTTTTTTAACTTTTGTTCAAGACTGTGGATTTTTTTTCTCGATTTGTGTCATCCTGGTTCTTGTATTTTTAGGTCTGAAGATTTTATATTTTCCCCAAAAGCAAAATTTTGGGGATGCATTTTTTTTTGGGTATCTGGGGTCGTTGGGCATACCTGAAGGGGCTAAATTGGTAGGTTAATCCGGGGAAGAGAGGGGGGGAAGGGCTGGGGGGCAGCCCCTGTTTGTTGTTATTGTTGTGGTGTGGCTTTGAGCGGGGTGATTTGGGGGGGTTGTGAGCCGGGGTCCTCCCGGGTACACTTTTTGAATAGTTGATTTTTCGGTGTTTTCTTGCTGGCCTTGGTGCTGTTTCCTCTTAGATTGCGCCTCATAATACTACAGAAAGGGGTTTAGTTATAGGTAATACATATTTTAAGAAAAAGAGGATAAATAAGTATACACGATATGATGTAGGGCGAAATGACAGTAGTTTGTTGGATTATGTATTGGTGGATAAAAGACTGTTGAGTAGACTTCAGGATGTACATGTTTATAGAGGGGCCACAGATATATCAGATCACTTTCTAGTTGTAGCTACACTGAGAGTAAAAGGTAGATGGGATACAAGGAGAATAGAAGCATCAGGGAAGAGAGAGGTGAAGGTTTATAAACTAAAAGAGGAGGCAGTTAGGGTAAGATATAAACAGCTATTGGAGGATAGATGGGCTAATGAGAGCATAGGCAATGGGGTCGAAGAGGTATGGGGTAGGTTTAAAAATGTAGTGTTAGAGTGTTCAGCAGAAGTTTGTGGTTACAGGAAAGTGGGTGCAGGAGGGAAGAGGAGCGATTGGTGGAATGATGATGTAAAGAGAGTAGTAAGGGAGAAAAAGTTAGCATATGAGAAGTTTTTACAAAGTAGAAGTGATGCAAGGAGGGAAGAGTATATGGAGAAAAAGAGAGAAGTTAAGAGAGTGGTGAAGCAATGTAAAAAGAGAGCAAATGAGAGAGTGGGTGAGATGTTATCAACAAATTTTGTTGAAAATAGAAAAAGTTTTGGAGTGAGATTAACAAGTTAAGAAAGCCTAGAGAACAAATGGATTTGTCAGTTAAAAATAGGAGAGGAGAGTTAGAGGTATTGGGAAGATGGAAGGATATTTTGAGGAATTGTTAAATGTTGATGAAGATTGGGAAGCTGTGATTTCGTGTATAGGGCAGGAGGAATAACATCTTGTAGGAGTGAGGAAGAGCCAGTTGTGAGTGTGGGGGAAGTTCGTGAGGCAGTAGGTAAAATGAAAGGGGGTAAGGCAGCCGGGATTGATGGGATAAAGATAGAAATGTTAAAAGCAGGTGGGATATAGTTTTGGAGTGGTTGGTGCAATTGTTTAATAAATGTATGGAAGGGGTTAAGGTACCTAGGGATTGGCAGAGAGCATGCATAGTTCCTTTGTATAAAGGCAAAGGGGATAAAAGAGAGTGCAAAAAATTATAGGGGGATAAGTCTGTTGAGTGTACCTGGTAAAGTGTATGGTAGAGTTATAATTGAAAGAATTAAGAGTAAGACGGAGAATAGGATAGCAGATGAACAAGGAGGCTTTAGGAAAGGTAGGGGGTGTGTGGACCAGGTGTTTTACAGTGAAACATATATGTGAACAGTATTTAGATAAGGCTAAAGAGGTCTTTGTGGCATTTATGGATTTGGAAAAGGCGTATGACAGGGTGGATAGGGGGCAATGTGGCAGATGTTGCAAGTGTATGGTGTGGAGGTAGGTTACTGAAAGCAGTGAAGAGTTTTTACGAGGATAGTGAGGCTCAAGTTAGAGTATGTAGGAAAGAGGGAAATTTTTTCCCAGTAAAAGTAGGCCTTAGACAAGGATGTGTGATGTCACCGTGGTTGTTTAATATATTTATAGATGGGGTTGTAAGAGAAGTAAATGCGAGGGTCTTGGCAAGAGGCGTGGAGTTAAAAGATAAAGAATCACACACAAAGTGGGAGTTGTCACAGCTGCTCTTTGCTGATGACACTGTGCTCTTGGGAGATTCTGAAGAGAAGTTTGCAGAGATTGGTGGATGAATTTGGTAGGGTGTGCAAAAGAAGAAAATTAAAGGTGAATACAGGAAAGAGTAAGGTTATGAGGATAACAAAAAGATTAGGTGATGAAAGATTGAATATCAGATTGGAGGGAGAGAGTATGGAGGAGGTGAAAAGTATTCAGATATTTTGGGAGTGGACGTGTCAGCGGATGGGTCTATGAAAGATGAGGTGAATCATAGAATTGATGAGGGAAAAAGAGTGAGTGGTGCACTTAGGAGTCTGTGGAGACAAAGAACTTTGTCCTTGGAGGCAAAGAGGGAATGTATGAGAATATAGTTTTACCCCAACGCTCTTATATGGTGTGAAGCGTGGGTGATGAATGTTGCAGCGAGGAGAAGGCTGGAGGCAGTGGAGATGTCATGTCTGAGGGCAATGTGTGGTGTGAATATAATGCAGAGAATTCGTAGTTTGGAAGTTAGGAGGAGGTGCGGGATTACCAAAACTGTTGTCCAGAGGGCTGAGGAAGGGTTGTTGAGGTGGTTCGGACATGTAGAGAGAATGGAGCGAAACAGAATGACTTCAAGAGTGTATCAGTCCCGTAGTGGAAGGAAGGCGGGGTAGGGGTCGGCCTAGGAAGGGTTGGAGGGAGGGGGTAAAGGAGGTTTTGTGTGCGAGGGCTTGGACTTCCAGCAGGCATGCGTGAGCGTGTTTGATAGGAGTGAATGGAGACAAATGGTTTTTAATACTTGACGTGCTGTTGGAGTGTGAGCAAAGTAACATTTATGAAGGGATTCAGGGAAACCGGCAGGCCGGACTTGAGTCCTGGAGATGGGAAGTACAGTGCCTGCACTCTGAAGGAGGGGTGTTAATGTTGCAGTTTAAAAACTGTAGTGTAAAGCACCCTTCTGGCAAGACAGTGATGGAGTGAATGATGGTGAAAGTTTTTCTTTTTCGGGCCACCCTGCCTTGGTGGGAATCGGCCGGTGTGATAATAAAAATAATAATAAAAAATACTACAGGAATTGTTGTAGTTAAGAAGAAGTTGTAGTATACAAAGCTTAGGGTTACGTTGTTTGGCTGGCAGCGGGGTGTTGCTTTCGGTTTGTGTGCAGTCTTCCTTTGATCTCTCTTATTTTCGATTTGTAGGTTTCACTGTTGGTAATCTTTGGTCATTCTGGGTGCTACGTTGGGTAGTGCAGTTTTGCTTGTAACTAGGTCATCATAGGAGCTTTGGGTAGCTCTGGTAGTTGGAGAAAAGTACGGAGCTTGGAAGTCGCTGCTGCCGCTGCCACCGCAACCTAAAGGGGCTTTGGCATGCTGCACTTTAAAAATTGTATTCCTTGTACTTCTCTGTATCATATTCAAATTAAATAAATAAATATGTTTGTACAGCAATGCATGCAACCATGCGACCTGTTTTTGTAATACCCATTTGTACTTGTTATCTGTTTACAATAATGTTTTACCACTGAATACTTCATTGCTTAGTTAATCTTAAGTTAATTTAAGCCTGCCTGTAATGCTATGCATTCAAGTGGCTTTGGCATGCTGCATTTAACTATTCTTTTGTACTTCACTGTATCATGTTCAAATTAATAAATAAATAAAATAACAAATTCCCACTCCTGCCAGCATATTCCACCATACTATATAGAATATAGAATTCATTACCAGAAGATATTAAAGTAATCCAGTCTGAAAATCAATTTGACTCTTCTCAGAAGCCACTTAATCACCCTAGACTAAAGGCTAAATACTCAGTACACACTTACTCACCTGTGTACTCCCACATCATAACTTCAACAATCACTTTGAACCTTTTATCCATTGTTGACAGGAATATAATTGAATCATTGTTTTCACAAAAAGCATTTTCGAATATATGAATATGTCTTTTGTCTTGCTCAAATTTTGATTCATTTATAATCTACTGTACAACTATGAAATAATTACTGTCCTACTGTAAAACTATAAGATATAATCCTTAGTGTTAAGTAGTCTGTAAGCCAATAATGTTAAGTTGGCCCATAATGCTTAGGCATAATAGAGGCTCTCTTTGCATTGCAACCCACTATTGTAAATACAAAATCTCAGTGTACTGTTTGCAAAGACATAAAATAAATAAATAGATGCCAAAACTACCCAAGTGCTTGAAATAGTCTGAGGTTACTTGCTTCCTCAGAGGGAACTTTGAAGGGATAGCATAATAATAGATGACAAGTTGTTGGAATTCCTCCAGTTGGGATTGAGATGTGCCATTTTGTGTTGAATCATCCCTCTAGGTTTGGTGTCTGATTCCCATGCCTTAACTTCTCTTGGACCCTTGTGGATAGTTATAATTGTAATAATTAACTTGTACAAGTAAATCTTGTGTGAGGATAATGTGACTTACTAGTAAACTTAGAGTGCATAAACAAGTCACTAGTTTGTATATACAGAAGGGCCCTACTTTACAGTGCTTCACTTTAGTGTTTCGCTAATGCAGCAGTTTTCAATTATATCCATTCTTCATTTATTCAGATTTCTTACAATAAATACATTCACTCGCTATAAGCTCAGGATGAAAATATTTTAAGTACTGTGCCCTGTATATGCATTTTTTAGGCATAGCTCTGTTGCTCACTTAATATAATAATAATATCTTTATTTACTACAAGTACATGTACATGGTATACAGCCCTAGCTGACGTCATTGACATACTACTATATAGAAAACCCCTTGTTATGCTGAGCATTTCGGGTAAATTAGGTCAGTGTCCCAGGATGCGACCTACACCAGTTAACTAACACCCAGGTACCCATTTATAGATGGGTGAACATAGACAACAAGTGTAAAGAAACATGCCCAATGTTTCTACCCTGGCTGGGAATCAAACCCAGACCCTCACCATGTGAAGCAAGAGTTTTAGCCACCAGGCCACCAGAGCCTCTAGTGGAAATACGTTATCAAGCTTTTATATGCATTTTATGTGATGTGATTTTTGCTTTACAGCAGTAGCCTGGAACCTAACCTGCTGTTTAAGCGGGGTCCTTCTGTACTATGGCCAATGAACGATGCCCAGTAATGCCCAAAATTTCATGGTTCTGTACTTAAACCAACTATTAGTAGGCTAATATCCAATGAATGCCCTGATACTGTTGAGAAAGTATCACTTAGCTATTTTGGCTTTAATGTACAATTACATTTGCACAAGCACAGGTGATGCACTTTGTCATTCAGGCACACACATGGATCAGCATTTCTTTGAGTAGTCATATTAAAAATATAAATAATGTTCTGTTATTGGAAATATACATCATTTGAAATTGTCATATTACATTGTAATGTACTGTGTGTTGTCACACTTAAATAATTACAGCCTCTCCTCACTTAATGAGAGTTCCGTTCCTAAGACCATGTCGGTAAATGAGTTCGTTGATAAGTGAGGAACCACCCTTTTCCGATACTTCAAAAAGTCACCATCCGAAAATAAAACATTCGCTGTTTTATGTTTGCTCTGAAAATCCTTTCAATATGTTCATTATTAAGGGTAATACAACATGAAACATGTGAGCATTTATTGTAGAGAGGGAGAAGAAGAAGAATGAAGAATGGAAGAAGTACAACAGTTCACTGGAAAGGGGTTAGTGATGCATCTCAGCATCAAGCAGTCTCAGACTACATATTTCGTCTAAATTTGTAATTTTTATTGTGCATCCCATAATACAAGATGAAGTGCAGCAGCACTTGGAAGAGGAGAAACAAAGAGGAAAATGAAAAGTACAAAAGAAGTTCACTATAAAGGGGGTTGCTGGTGTGTTAGTCTGTGTGTTTACATTCTTGGTGTCTCGTGGACCAAAGGGGTGGGTGTTAGAAATGGTTAAACTCGGTGAACAAGGTATGTCGGTGGTAAAAATTATAATAATTGCTCTGGAGTGCTTAAAATGTCATATATGTATTTCGTATAGGATTGGTAACTGACTTTTAAACCCCTTTTGACTGTCGCGTTCGTATATGTACGCCCATGGGAGAAAACCGTTTTTTGACGTATCTATACGCATAAATTCTAGCGGCTTAAAATCGAGCGGAGAGGGCTGGTGGGCCTACACGAGAGAGAATGGGTCTCAGTGGTCGGTGTGCACCCTGTAAAAAAAATCTGGGACTCAGCGGTGAAATTGTGGGAACGCCATCTTGGTAGTCCATTTTCACCTTTGCCTCGCGGTAAGAAGTTCCTCACCCCTCGGCGGATTGGAGTCTTTTGTTCCCAAGTGATAAGCTCAAACAGTGATGATAGTGTCAGTGAAAGTGAATTCCAGGGTTTTTGAAGCGGGTGTGACCGAGAAAATTCCCCAGGATAAACATAATTAGTGTTTAAAACCCAGATGACCCACAACCATCCACCTCTGGTGCTAGGCCGGCTCGTTCATATTCACCTGTACCAGGACGAAAGGGGAAACTTTTTCCCCGTGTACAAGCTCAGATGTGAGCAGTGCAAGTGATAGTGATAGTGATTTAAAGGTTATTGAAAGCACTTCTATTGTGACAGTGGGGTGAATATTCCCCAGTGAAACGGCAGTATGTAGGGACGTCGCATGCGGTCTGGTAGTGTGCCATATGCTCTTCCAAGAGGAAGGAGTACATCTGGGAAAGTACATCCCGTGGCCCTACACCACGTCCTGATAGTAAAGATGACGATATTGTACGATGGGAAATAAATAAATGTGAGTGAGGCAGCAGGCGGTGGTGGTGATAGTGACGGTGCCATGAGTCATGTGACACCAGCACGGGCCACGCTAGTGCCCGCGCTGCTGACTCTGCACAACTACAACCTCTTCGGCCGACCCCACACTCTCACAACCACAACCACAACCTGCACAACCACAACGACATTACAATATCCAGAACGCCCCAGCTGACCGCATCTGGGATTGGCATCAAGATGACAGTTTGTACCCAATCCCCATGACTTTGATGAAGGACAAAGTGGAATACGGCCCATCATGTACATTTGGGAACAATCCCACTGAACTAATGCTTTCAGTTGTTTTTTGATGAACCCCCTGATGGACATTATTGTCAGGGAAAGCAATACATACTATGAGTACACCATGGCAAACACTAGCTTTCACCAAGATCACGCCTACACAGTGGAAGGCCCAAACTGTGGCAGAGATGTATCTGTTCTTTGCCACAATAATGCTTATGCCACATGTGTATAAGCATAGTGTCAGCACATACTGGGCGACAGACCGCCTGATTTCAACCCTGCTTTCAGTAAACATTAACCAGTGAATAGATTTTGTGTTACTGTACGTATGTTAAAACTTTTCAGACAAAACCAGGCCTGACAGAAGCGACGGGTTATATAAGATCAACGTGTTTTTTTATGTACCTGAACAAAAGTGCTGTATGTATTTTATCCCTTCAGGAAGCTTGTTATTGACGAGTCTTTGATTTTTTTCCCAAAGGAAGACTCTCATTCAAGCAGTATATACCAAGCAAGAGGAAACGCTTTGGTATAAATTTAAATTTGTTCTGTGTGATTCCCAAAACTGGTCTGGTTTTGGATATAATTGTGTACACTGGCGTAAAACAATGGAAGATACCAGAAGTTACTGGGTATCTCTGGTGATGTGGTTAGAACAATGATGGAGCCATCTTGGTAAGGGGCATATTTTATATACTGACAACTGGTAACAAAGCCCTATACTCAGATTTCTTGCAAGTGAACATGACAGATGTGTGTGGCACAGGCGTAGAAGTCGAAAAACATATGCCTAGGTTCGAAGCTGGCAGTCGTAGAGGTGAAGTGCAGGTGTTTGCTGCCAATGACATCATGGCATTTCGGTGGCATGACAAACGTGATGTCACCTGCGGGACATCAGTTCACCGACACGAAATGGTAGAGACTGGCAAGCAGAATAGAGAGACCAAAGAAACCTATTGTAAAACCTGCAGCTGTGAGGGATTACAACCTCAATATGCGCTTAGTGGACAAATGTGACATGCAGATTGGGGTTTGCTGACTGTGTTCGCAAGAGTTATAAGTGGTACATAAAATGTTTTTTCCATCTTCTTGACATTTCCATGCTGAATGCTTATAATATTGTATAAGTTGAAGACCAAGAACAAACCCAAATATGGTGAATTTTGTTTGTCAGTCACAGAAAAAATAATTTTCAAGTACCAAGAAACAACACCTGCAATAGACCAGCGCCCACGAAATTATAAAACACATGTCTCCCCGTCTGGGGCCCCTGGTGATCACTACCCATACCATGCCTGCTACTACTGCCAAGAAAAATGCTCAGAAGAGGTGTTTTGTCTGTGGACATACCACAAAACGCCACAAAAACGCAGAGGGGGACCCCTCGTTTTATGTGTGAGGAGTGGGAAGACACCATTGGGGCTTTTACCCATGTTTCAAAAAAATTCCACAAGCTGCAGCACTTCTAATAAAGTGTCCAGTGATTGTACATATGTATATAATTATAAAGCAATCGTAAATAAACATTTTTTACATTGTTTGTTTGTGTAAACAAGTTTTAGCAACATTATAATGATACGGTGTTTTTGCTATAATTGTGTTTCATTCCAACGAGTGTATAATTTGAACATTGCACAATAATTTGGTCTCACAGGCCACAAAAGTTATGTGAAAAAATAAAATAGTGAAAAAAACAAGAAACCATCGAATGCAAGTAAATAAAAGTTTACCGGGTTTAGCGGCAGTCGCCGCTGTTGCCGCCAGCAGATCAATTTCAGCAAACTTCAGGACTCTATATCTTGGTAAGTACTGATGGGAAAAATTTTTTTTTGGGACTAAACAATCAGAAAAATAATCTTAACTTTTCATAAGAAAAAAATAATTTTTTTTTTTTCGAATATTTTGCGACACCAGAAGCAACTTCAGGATTTGGCCCTTCGACAGTCAAAGGGTTAAAGTGCTCCAGAGCGATT